TTTGTTTTTTTATTCGAACACTATGCATTAATTAATAATGACATATATAAACAATACACATATATCTATATTCTAAAACAATATAGTCACAACTAAAACCCAGAAACATATGCAATAACATAAAATTAATTTAAATAAGATATATACCCATCTTATTAGCAATTACTTATAATTTATGAGTGTCTACACCTTACTGTGTTAATTCTAAATTTTACAGCATTCTGTTCACACTTTGAGGTGAATCTTAGGACAGATATATCAGTTGGGTAAAAATATAGTCTGCTAGTCAACTCAAAGTCTGGAAAGTGCTGGATTCAAACCTTTGATGTGTCACTATCTCCATGATGGAGTAGCCTTAAAATGGCCAATCTGTTACACATTTTTCATAATGGTTTCCAGTTAACTCGTTAAGAGAGAGTGGTTATTGAAAATAATGATTAAAATAATTATGGGACCACTTAGTGGCCAAATTGGAATTTTTAACCACTAGGACGATATCATCACTCATTATTATTATTAGTATTTTATTTATATAGCGCCAGCAAATTCCATAGCACTGTACAATGGGTGGATTAACAGACACGTTATCAAAGTGTACACCAACCCATCCATTTACATTGGTCCCTTCATAAATTTGCATATGAATTTAAGGAGTTAAGAAATTGCTTAAAAATAGAAACATAAGAGATCCTGACATTGAACTAACTGTGTTGAAACAGGTAAAAAGGTGGGATTGAGGATAGTTTGGAGTGTAATAAGAGATGAGTGAAAAGAGATAGAAGGAACTTGGTTATGGAGGGACTTGAACATGTGGGTAAGGCATCAAGAGATACTGCTGGTATGCTGGAAGCCAGTTGAGCTGTTGTAGAAAGTGTTGTCAGGTATGGGTAGAATTAAGCATGTTAAGGAATATACAGGCAGCAGCATTTTGGACTTGTTGAAGTGGAATAATGAATTGTTGTGAAAGACCAAGTAGAATAATCAAGCCAGGTGAAGTTGAGGGATTGGATAAAGAGTTGCAAAAGAGATTCAGAAAACTAAATAGGTGAAAATGCCAGACAGAAGTGACAGTGACAGTGGTTATGTGTTTTTCAAATAAAAATGAGGATGTAGGATGAGGGGAGAATGGAGTATGTAAAGAAAGAGAAGGAGATATGAATGTCATCTGGAAAGAAAAAGGTATTGTAGCCTTGCAATGAGATCAGAGAGAGTGGCAGTATAGAGGTAGAAAAGGAAAGAACCAAGCACTATTAAGAGATTTGTGGCTGATTCAGAGCACAGACGGGTTTGTGCAGATAAAGGCACACTGAGGAAGATTTTTGCCAGATCCATGCATCGGATCAAGAGAGCAGCTGCTAAAATACCATTACATAGCAGCAAACATATATTTGAACACACATCAAGGTGTAGAGTCCTTCAGAGTCTTGCAACTGTGCATAAACCTTCTATTTGGCCACCACTAACCAATGCTCACAAGCAGAAATGTCTGCATTGGGCAGAAAAATACATGAAGACTAATTTTCAAACAGTCCTGTTCACTGATGAGTGCCGTGCAACCCTGGATGGTCCAGATGGATGGAGTAGTGGATGGTTGGTGGACGACCACCCTGTTCCAACAAGGCTGCGACGTCAGCAAGGCGGTGGTGGAGTCATGTTTTGGGCTGGAATCATGGGAAAAGAGCTGGTTGGCCCCTTTAGGGTCCCCGAAGGTGTAAAGATGACCTCTGCAAAGGATGTGGAGTTTCTGACTGACCACTTTCTTCCCTGGTACAGAAAGAAGAACTATGCTTTACGTAATACAATCATCTTCATGCATGACAATGCACCATCTCATGCGGCAAAGAATACCTCTGCATCAATGGCTGCTATGGGGATAAAAGGAGAGAAAGTCATGGTGTGGCCTCCATCCTCCCCTGACCTCACTCCTATTGAGAACCTTTGGAGCATCCTCAAGCAAAAGATCTATGAGGGTGGGAGGCAGTTTACATCCAAACAGCAGCTCTGGGAGGCTATTCTGACATCTTGCAAACAAATTCAAGTAGAATTAAAAAGATTTTCTAAAAAAAACAAAAAAACTAACGTTTTACTGCCTATGCATTACTTAGGAAACAAGAGAAGAGGAAAAATATAAACAAAGATGGTGCCATGAGTCGTGCCAATTTGGTCGCTGCAATCAAATAAGGGGTCCTATGTTAAAATGTAACGTGACCTGTTAAAATGTTTACAAAGTTAAAATGTTGTTAGACGTTTGATTGAAATAGCTTTTGATTTCAGTAAATGTGCTGCAAACACAACAAATGACAATTTTCTGTTATTTACAACCTATAAAGTGTTTTGAAACTTACTGTGCATAATAATTTGGAACAGAGCTTTTTAAGTTTTTTATGGTTAAAAAAAATAATGTTATCATTAGGAGGTTTGTTAATAAAATTGTAATTGTACTCTTAATAGTTGATAACATGAGAATTATGCTGACTGTTATTTACATCAATTATTTAGGTAAATGAGAAAAATATCATTTGCATAATAATTTGGAACAGGGTGTATACTCTTTTTGTTCTTTTGCTTTTTTTGTTTATACTATTTTTAAAATTGTATTTCTACTGACAGGAGATTTGATTATGCTTTAAATTACAATTTTAAATAATGTAAGAATTACATTTTCTTAACATTTCTAACTAGTTTTATTTTTGTGCTTGTGTTGCTTTCTTTTAGGTTTACTGGTGGGTTTTATTATTTTATTTCTATAGACAGAACATTTGATTGTGCTTCACTTGGCACAGATATGTATTGCAAAATAGCTTCCACCAAATCACCCGTGGAATAAAAAGTTAAACTTAACTTTGGATACTTGCTTCCCTTCAGTTACCTCCCAAAATGGTAACTATATAAAAAGTATAATATGGTACATATAGAATAGGGATCCAGCTTGTATCACTAAAACATAAATAAAAAATACAACATAGCGTAATACTGTTGTGGTCTTAGTGGGATCATCAGTGGGATAGACTCTACAACAGCGAATCTATCTGCTTTTATTGATTCGTATCTCCAACCTTATGCCCAAAAGGCCTTGTCATATACGAAAGATACAAAATCATTTCTACAAGAGGTTGAAAATTTAGAATGGCAGGATGAATATAGTTGGGCCACGTTGGACATGGCATCACTATACACGGTGATTAGTCACCGTTTAGGATTGGAGACGATTAATTTCTTTATGGGTAATGATCAGAGTTTATCCAATCATATGAGGAGATTCATTCTGGATGGGGTTCAATTTATTTTAGAACACAATTATTTTTTCTTTGAAGGAAATTTTTATTTAAAGATCACTGGAACTGCCATAGGTACCAGGTTTGCCCCCAGTTATGCGAACACCTACATGAGAAGATGGGAAGATTTTTTTGTGTGGTGTGACCATGACTGGGTGGCAAACCTGGTCCAATGGCGGAGATTTATTGATGATGTTTTAATTATTTGGAGAAGACCACATTCCTCTTTTGTGTCGTTTGTAGAGTATTTAAATCAGAACGAGTATAATTTACAGTTTTCACCGGTTTGGAACAAAAAAGAAATACATTTTTTAGATATTACTTTGTTTGGTGAAGGTAAAGAAATAAAGACAAAATGTTTTTTCAAACCCACAGATGGGAACAGTTACGTCCACAAAAAAGCTGCCACCACCAACCATGGTTGAGAGGGATAGCAAAAGGACAACTAACAAGGGTGAGACGTAACTGTTCCCAACACAAGATTTCACACAGCAGGCACAACACGTAAAAGAAAAACTAGTTAAGAAGGGTTACAATAAAAACTCAATAGAAAAAGAAATTAGAACAATGTTAGGGAGAAGTAGGGATGAATTATTAATAGATAATCAGAAAGTTAAGGATAAGGGAGAGTAATTCCATACCGCATTCGTTACACAATATAATACAGATCATTTAAAAATCAAGAAAAGTCTACAAAAACACTGGCCAATCTTATTAGAGGATCCTTTGCTGGGAGAGATATTACCAAAAAAAAACAACATTAATTTTAAAAAATAAAATAAAATCTAAAAAAATTTCTAGCTCCAAGTTATGCCATAAAACAAAAATGTGAGTTGAACGAGGGACAAAAAGGTTTTCAAGGTTGCAAGAGATGTAAGGCGTGCTCAACAATAACTGTAGGTGGAAATACACACTTTACTAGCAAGATAACAAATCAAACTTTTGCAATAAAAAGCAAGATTGGTTGCCTCACGGACTATGTGGTATATTTACTGCAGTGTCCGTGTGGCAAACAATATGTTGGCCGTACAAAAAGATTTTTTAAAGTCAGAACAATGGAACATATTAATAATATCAAAAAAGGGCTATTATCCCATTCAGTACCAGTTCATTGTAACTCATGTCCAGCATTTAATTTGAAGGAATTGATATGCATAGCAATAGAAAATGTTCACCCACATTGGAGGGGTGGGAACAGAGAGCAAAAATTAGCCTAGAGAGAAACATTCTGGATCCATAAATTACAGACTCTTGCACCTGCAGGACTGAATGTTGATATAGATCTGGTGTGTTTTCTAAACTAATGTAGGGATTGGGATAAGATCATAATATTAAAATATTAAAACATTGAAAGGTTCCTGAGATGAAAAGCTCAGTTTTTTTGGGGGGGGCAATTCACGTTGTGAGAAAAAGGATTGAAACCAAATAAACCAAAATAATGAGATTCTTAATAACTTTTCCTTATGAATAAATTATATATTAAAAGAATTATGTAGCAATTTTGAAAAATTCATCAAAGAACCAATTTGGGGGAAAAAAATAGATATATGTATATATACAAATAATTATTTTCATTTTATTTCCTCTTCTAAATAACTGGAACAAAATAAATTTGGCTCTATTATTTGGGGTGAAATATATGTGATGTGAAGCCCAAATATACACCAATACACAATGGTCCACAAAAGTATATATTGATAAACAACATTAAAATAAGAAATAAAAATCTATGGCAATATCAGTCTGAAAGTCAGACTCGGGCCTGGTTAGCACTTGTATGGGAGACCTACTAGGAAGCTCAGGTGCTGTAACGGGAAGTATAAAATGAACATTACCCATCATATAGATCAAATTAGTTTTATAATAACTAAATTGGACCATTGTTTGTTGGTGAATAAAATGGGAATACAGTTTATATGTTTAATTGTAAAATGAATTGTTAATTCAACTCTGGCATTTGTTTTCTTTTTTGCATATAATGAAATCATTGATAAATATGCACAAAGTGTATTACTTTCTGGCGACCACCAGATGGCAACATAACAAGTTCTAAGTGGAACAAAATGGAATGCATGGCCATTTAAAAAAAAAAACAAAAACAAAAAAAACGGAAGTGCATCATAAAAAGAAGACACTGACCATACAGGAAGTGTGTCATCGGAAATGGACACTTAAAATGCAGTGAAAAAAACAGAATGAAAATCAGAACAGCTGAAACAACAGATGGAGGTAATTTACCAACTGATGAGATGTCCAATAGAAGAGGAAAAGGAGAGTACGCCCATCACACCACCAATGGACTTCCAGCACTTATTGTATTTAAGGGAAGGGAGGGAAGCAATAGGCTTATGGATACACTTGTTAGTATTTGGAGTGTATAAACTCTATGTTTTTTAAATTTTGGTTCCTGAAGAAGTTTCCTAAGGGGAACGAAACGCGTAGAACCATATTTTAATTTAATTTTACTATATGCCAATAAATCCATTGTTTTCTACTTTCAACCATTGGGAGAGTGTGAACTTCTTGGTCTCCAGATTGGCGTTACTACAAACGAACAGGACCTAACCCCCTACCTATAGGGGTGGCAACCTGAAGGCTTACTATATACAACAAATCTGTGAGTGTAACCTTGAACTATTGGGCAATTAATAAGACCACAACAGTATTACGCTATGTTATATTTTTTATTTATGTTTTAGTGATACAAGCTGGATCCCTATTCTATATATACCATATTATACAGATATGTATTGCCACAAAATAATTATCTGAAACTGGGAAAACCAGAACTAGTCTTCAAAACATATTACTGACTTTTTAAAATTAATATAATAATTATATCATGGACATAAGTGATAATAAAGCTAATTAATATTTAAAAAAAAAAAACATTTAACTTTAAATTGACTAATGGAATGTGAGACATAATATTTATATCAATGCAATTGGCTTTAAAATAATAAAAAGGCACATTTAGTTTAATGTAGTGGTGTCGGTGCATTGATGTTGTCCCCTTTGTATGATATAGTAAAACATTGGTGTTTCTGAGAAACAGCAATGTTTGCATTTGACAGAAACCAGGCAGACACTAGAGCAACTTCCTACTTCATATCGTTTGATTTTGCAAGTTCTTTAAACTGAGTATTATCATGTACAGCACGATGATTTTTAAAGATGACTTTAATAAAACAAAGTAAATATTAAAAGGGATGATGAAAAAACATAAAAAATAAAAATCTTAGAAAGTCCTAATAACAATGACGCGTTTCAACCAATATGGTCTTTCTTAAAGTGTATAGTTTCCTTCTCCACTTCCTGGCTTTTATACCCAACCGGAGTTTTAATTTGGTGCTAATCGTTCACTTGCCGCCTTTTTTTCTCATTTACCCACTTCCGTCCAAGTGAGATGACGTGTTTCTGTTTCCATTCTGAACTCCATACGTCTGACGTCATCAGTTTTGGCAGATCCTCGATATGATCCTTTCTATAAGCTGGCTCCGCCATTTTTAAAAGTCCAGATTTGGATTTTAACATAGATATAGTTCCTGGCAACAAGAACTTTTAATGTTCTAACTATTTGAAATATAAAAAATAATTAAAATTAATTCAAACAATGAAATGTATATAGAAACGATCTTTGTCGTAATTATTTCAAACCACCATAGACACTATGGTTTTTAAAAATCCCATTTAATGTTGTATATGTGATCTCGCACCCTAGTGGCCACACATCTTGATGTTTTGCATGCATACTGCAGGCCACAGGGGCACTTGAGCATATACACAACATCTTTCGTTTCGCATGTAATAAATTATTTTATTTCATATTGTTTTGAGTTAATGAAATTCTCCTTTCTTTTAATTCGGATATTTTACACCACATAAAATTTCCACAGTAGTTAAAACCTTTAAATAGGTCCCGCTGAATGTTAATAAAATCTTTATCAGACTTTTCGATAAAACTGGAAGTTAAAATCTGTTTAAGATTCTGTGCTCCCCTAAATACAACCTTAGGTTTATCCCCTATATATGGTACAATATTTTTATCTTGTCTTAATAAGTGCCAATTCTTATTAAGAACCCGTTTTAGTTGGACATGGTTCTTATTAAAATTAAAAATAAATGGAATTGTTTCTATATCTTTCATTTTTAACTTGTTTATAGAGTTGAGCGAACCCGAACCGCAAAGTTCGGGTTCATACCGAACATTACGTTTTTTGGTCCCCGGAAACGAACATGGACATATCACTGTATGTTTGGGTGGGAGTTCGGTGTTCGGCGATTTAATGACGCGTTTTGAAAGGCTGCAGGGCAGCTAATCAACAAGCATTTGACTCGTGTGCCCTTAGAAGCCATCACAGCCATGCCTGCTAATGGCATGGCTGTGATTGGTCAGTGCAGCATGTGACCCAGTCTCTATATAAGCTGGTTACTTAGTATTATTAAATTATGCCCATACTCGCTATACTGCGAGTAGGAGCATGTCTATTAAACAGTGAGCAGCCTGTGGGTGGGGCCAGGGGGAGGACAGTAGATCCCTCCCTTATTGTTATTTAGGGCCCCCCTGCCGCACAGGGGTGGGGGCTGGGGGGAGGACAGTAGGTACCCCCCACATTCTTATTTGTAACCCAACCCACCACTCAGGGGTGGGGGTCAGGGTGGGAGGACAGTATGTCCCCCCTCCACATTCTTATATAGGACCCCCCCCCCGTCGCACAGGGGTGGGGGCAATAGGTTGTGGGGTTTTTTCAGCAGTCACTGGCTGCTCACTGTTTACTAATCACGCCCCTACTCGCGGTATAGCGAGTAGGGGCTGAATTTACTAATACTAAGTAATCTTTATTTAGTATTAGTAAATTTGACTGAAAGACCAATTTAGGTCTTTCAGCCTTTTGGTAGATAGCTCCCTAATACCGTGGGAATTAGGGAGTTATCTACTAAGCGGCTGCTTATCCACTTGTCCTACTCTTACCCCATTTTACTTCCTTTTGAAGCCCTCTAGCCCTTTCCAGGACTTTTTTTGAGGCATTTTTGTGCCCAAAAGTTCGGGTTCCCATTGACTTCAATGGGGTTCAGGTTCGGGGTCAAATTGAGTTGTCTTATTTCATCAATTGACCTATTCAAGCCTGCATCAACATAACCCTTTTCTAAAAACTGTTTTTTTAGTAGATTTGCTTGAAGATTATATTTTTCTATTTGGGAACAATTCCTCCTTAGCCTTAAGAATTGTCCTCTGGGAATATCATCCAACCAGGGACAGAAATGACAACTTTCCTTTTCAATTAAACTATTCACATCCACTTTTTTGAAAAAAGTGCATGTTTCAATCTTATTTCCTTTTTTGTAGATATTAAGGTCCAGGAATTTAATTTCTTTATCACTAATTTCATGAGTCATCTTAATGTTCCACTGATTAGTATTGAGATGGGCTATGAATTATAGAGCTGAAACTTCACTGCCTTTCCAAATAAAAAATAGATTGTTGATGTACCTTCTATGGAAGACCAGGTTCCCTACCCAGTCATGCTGTGAAAAAACATATGTGTCTTCCCAATGTGCCATAAACAAATTTGCATAACTGGGAGCGAACCTGGTCCCCATAGCATTCCCACGACACTACAAATAAAAGTCACCATCAAAGCAAAAAAAAAATATTGGTTAAAATCAACTGTGTAGACTCCAAAATAGTCAATTTGATCTCCATGATGAATTTTGGAGATTTCTAGAAAGTGCCTGACTGCCTCACATCCTCTATCATGTTCAATACAGGTGTAAAGGCTAGTTACATCACATGTAACAAATAAAAATTGATCTTCCGACTTTATATTCTTTAAAACTTGAATAAGACTCATCAAGTCTTTTAAAAATGGATGTAAGAAGGTAGCTACATATTTAGATCTGGGTGATAGTAGGGACCCTATTCCAGAAACAATGGGCCTTCCAGGAGGGTTATGTATATCTTTATGTAATTTGGGGAGTATATATATCACTGGTATTCTCGGAAATTCAGTATTTAAAAATGTATATTCTTTTGAAGTTAGAATGCCTTTTAAAAGACCTTTATCTAAAATTTGTACATATTTTTTTCCTAATCTCTATAGATGGATTACTTTTTAGTTTTTTATAGGTGTCTTTGTCTTCCAGTTGTCTATTAATCTCTGCTAGATATGTTTCTCTATTTAAAACAACTACCCCGCCCTCCTTATCGGCGGGTTTGATAAGTTGTCAAAGACCTTCATACTCATTGACTTTAAGAGAATAGGGTAAAACGTAGAGGGCTTTTTCAAATCTGTATGTTGAAAACCATTATTACTATCCCTCTGATGATTTGAGTTAACAGTATAATTTTCTTTAAAGAACTTCTTTAGACAGAGCTTCCTTATAAATCTATTTATATCCATATATGTGTCAAATTTATTAAAGGGACAACTTGGAGCAAATTTAAAACCTTGTTTAAAACATTAATATGGGTTGTGGTTAAAACCGTGTTTGATAAATAAAAAATCTTAATTTTCTCATAATTTTTCCCTGCGGTCTCCTTAATTTCCTGTCTTCCCCTATTTCTCCTTCCTCGTACTCTCTGTATCGTCTTTTTTGGGGCAGTAGACTTTTTGGGTACCTTCCTCTTTGGCCTCTCCCTAAAAAAGGACTAAACTCTACATTTACATTTATTCTTAAGGGTTCATTTCGATTTTGAGTTGAAATAGGTCTCCTTTGTGATAGTGGAGTCCTATTTGAATCTGTTTGAATTCCAGATCTGTAACCGATTCCCTTATTTACCACTATAATGTCTTAAAGCATAGAACTTAGTAGG